TGAGATACCAAATGTAGATCACACATGTTAAGGCCCATTTGTAATTTGATTTGACAGCACAACCACCTTGTCATGGCAAGAATGAATATAAATCCTCCTGTAATGGATATTCATGGCTTCTGTGTGTGTGTGTATATATATATTTTTTTTTTCTAGACACCTTATAGACTCATTTGACAGTCAGTTCATTACAGGGCATTTCCAAATTAACACAGAAAAGAGTGATTTTTTAAAGGTTTTTTTCAGGCCTCTTCACATATTTTTTACAGCAATTCAGGTGTAAAAATGTGAGAACTTGCTAATTATTATGTGTTTAGGGGATTAGTTAGACTTCTTTTTCTTACATTTGACAGGCAAATCAGCTCTGTGAGGCTGTGATAAAATGTTCCTCTGTGTGTTGTCATTAATTTGTCTTTTTTTTTTTTTTAACTGCAAAGCAAGTGAAACTTTCTTAGACCCAATAGGGGCTTTTTTATTTTTCAGGATGGTAGAAGAATTTAGGAATTTGTTCTTGTACCAGTCCAATAGTAACTCATAAAGCTACTATGGGGAAGACTGAGGTTTCAAGATTGGCATTAAAAACATCTAAGCTGAAGGAACATGACCTTACAGCAAACATGACCCGTAGCACTTACATTAGAAGGAATTTATTCAATACATCCTGCAATATTTAGGCAATAAGGCAAGACTAACTTTTCTTCAGGACAGATTTTTCTGTTCTTTCTTGACCAAAAATACGATTTACCAGATGATGAGAAATTACTTGCAAATTGTGTAAAGGCTTCTGCATTTTGCTTCTGAATCACAAAAATTTGCAGAGAATAGGCAAAAAAGTCTGGCATCCCATCAGTCATCCTTTTCCATGGAAATAATACAAAAAGAGTTTCTTTTTTTATCCTTTAGCTGCCACATCACCTTGTAACTACTCACTTTATCAGAGATCTTGCAGCATGCTGTCAGTCCATCCCATTCCCTGCTGTCACTAGAAAACATGTTTTTTTCTGCGTGTGAAGTTACTGAAATCCTGACTCTTTTGCTTAGCCATGATAACCTTTCTTTCCAGACAGCTAACATACAATAAATATTTAAGGTACCTAATAAAGACAGACAGCAGAAAAAAAAAAAAATGTAATTCAAAGATTTCTTTAGAGCTTTCATTTTTACTGGCTAAAAACCTGCTATTGAGAGTCCTGGTGTCAAAGAAATGTGGAAAGGATTGCTCTCTCCTGTCCTTGGGCTTCCTAGTGACATTTGCTTCAATATTTCTGGGTGAAATCCAAATTACTTTTGCAAGTAGTCCAACGAACCTATGGCCATCTGTTCCTGAATGGTGAAATAAAATGAAGCTTTTAATCCCAGATTTATTTTAAGGTAAGATCGGTAGTGAAATAAATCAAGTAGCAGGAGAAAGAAACTGATTACTAAAGCCATAGCAGACAGGATGCATAGATACAAAACATAATGACACGGAAAACTTTGCAGTAACTTTCACAAATATGGAAATGGTAAAAACCCACAATTTTTTTTTTTCTAAAAGAAGAAAAAGCCAGATCAACAAGAAGTATCAAAATAGTGGCAATCATGATTTAGTATAAAGTTTTGTTGGGCAGCAGTGATGCATAGCCTGTAGTAATCCTTGACAAGCACAACAGTTTGCCTGTATTCTTGAGTTAAATAAAAACAAATGGCATATGTTATATAGAACAGTTCTACTTTTAGGAGAGGGAAGCCTTGTGAGTTTATTCATACCAACCTCTGGGTACCAATTCTCTCAAACTTCTTTCTGTAATTCTAATCTTCCTCCTGCATCCCTTGTCTCTACCACCACCCCTCCGCCCCTCCAATTAAAAGAATAAATAAATTATTCTTGGAATTCACCAAGGGCCAGCAGAAATTCACATCAAATAGGAACACGTGTCTGGTTTACACATTAAACAGTTGGTTACTCTGATTTGTATCACAGCAACACATGGATGGCTCAGAAAGATCTTGGCTCCATTTCAGTAAGTTGTACCTAAAATAATGGGAGCTCTAAATAATGTATGCTGTTTTCTAGCACTCTCTAACAGGAAATAGATTAGGAAGAACGGATGAACAGAGAATAGAAAATGGTTTTCTTACTTCCCTTTCACAGAATCACAGAGTGACTGAGGCTGGAAGAGACCTCTGGACATCATTTTGTCCAGCCTTCTGTTCAAGCAGGACCATCTTGAACAGGTTGCCCAGGACCATGTCCAGTTGGCTTTTGAATGCCTCCAAGGATGGAGATTCTCCCATTCCTCTGGGTTCATTTCAGAGCTATGTTCACCAGATAAATTTCAAAGCTCACTTTAAAACAATGCCAAAAAGAAAATAAATTGTGGGGGTTTAAGTTCTCATGGAAACTAAGCCTAAATTTTTTCCCAAATAACTTTGTTGTGCTTTTTCATTTGCCTTTAGGGCATTTGCTGATGGTCAAGATTTTAACTAGATTAGTGGTCTATATGATCAGGAGCAGAACTCAAATACAAATAGACTACTGATAGGTTTATCTAAGTTATTGCACAGCACACATTTAATATTTAATATACTAACACTTATGCAGTATTTTGTACATTTTAAAAGTAAAATGAGCAATTATATAACTATTCAATTTTACCAAAATCTGGAACATATGCTACATAACAAAAACTTTAATTGCTGCAGTTATTACTTTTTATTTAATTCTTTGCTTAGAAAGAAGGCCTTCTTGTTTGTGTACTGCAACAGGAAATTTATGATCACTCTTTTATAAAGAAAATAAGTTAAAATTTATCTTCTGTGTAGCAAACACAGGCACGTAATATTCTCTTTGTCCTGTCACCTAATGTTCGTCTGAAAGTAGTGACTAGCATAGCCTTTCTCGAATCAACTCTCCATAGAATTAATCCCATTTGAAGCAGTAACCACAGAAATAGCCTTGTCTACTGAAAATTTTCATTAGACACTGTCTTCACAAATAGCATTGATCATAACCCTAGTCCTAACCTTGCAATATCAAATAAAATTAAAATATTTTAATTACATTGAAAAGTTTCAGACTTTACCCTCAAAAATGAAGATGATACATTTTGGTGTCCCAGAGGTAGCATAATCAAAATACCTAAATCTGTGAAGTGCAGGAAGTCACTTAGTGACACTTTTGAGGAATGACACTTCAGAAACATTTCTATATATCTACATGCCAAATCAATATTACTGATTATCAGGACTATTGATAAAGAATAAATACCAAGAACAATCTAGTGTAAGTCACATATAACACTCCAAGCTAACAAGCAAATGTGAAAAGGGAAGACATATGATCAGGGAAAAAAAAAAAACCAACACAAACCATGTTTAAAGGAAATTTAAAAATTATTTTAAAGGTATAGTCCTGTATCAAACAACTTCCTAAAAATGCATACAGAAGAGCACATCTGAAGGCAATACCGATGTTTCTTCTCTTCCATGCATTTACACCCACATTTGGTCTTATAAATGACTCCCCAAAGAAAATAAGCAGTCCAAAAGGGCTAAATAAAACCAATTAACTCTTAAAAACAATAGGGAAGGATCTGCTTCCTTTCTCTGCAAGGTCCCTGTGGGGACATAAACAGGATTTGACACTAGGTGAATTTGGCTTTGTCTCTAGGTACACGCTGTGCACACTGAGGAAATGTACTTAATATGAAACGGGCAAGTGCCAAATGAGAAAATTCTCAGGTTCGGTTCTGAGAAGTAAAAAAGTTTGGCAGCTATTAGAAGATTTTTAGGTCTGGAAAATGTATGAGAAGCTTTCCAGTCGACATTTGCAGTGTTTCCTAGCGTTAGCAAGGCTAACAATAAATTCGAGTTAGTTATAACATTGCCAGCACAGTCACTATGGCGTTACACTACTTCGATTACGGGATCTGGCAGACGGTGGCAAATGCAGTTTTAAATTGAAGTAAGTATGAGATACAGTTTTGTATGTATATGTTTTGCCCTGGGGAGAGGGGTCAGTGGGTGCAGAAACAAAAGCACAAAAAGTTTCACCTGAATATGAGGAAAAGCTTTTTTACTGTGTGGGTGATCATGCGCTGGAACAGATTGCCCAGAGAGGCTGTGGAATCTCACTCACCATATAATTTCCAGAACTGTCCGGATGCAATCCCGTGCCATGTGCTTTAGGATGACCCCGCTTGAACAGGGAGGTTGGACCAGATGACCCACTGCGGTCCCTTCCAACCTTACCCATTCTGTGATTCTGTGTAATTCTGTTACACAGAATGCCAATTCCAGCCAATAGGTCATGCAGTGTTTTTTTCCCAGAGGATCCAAGTGTGGCTTTCCCAGTCCTTATATTTAATGAGGAAAAGGAAAGGGCAATAAGCCCCCCAGGAGCTCTTGCCTACCACTGAGTTTCCCTTTGAAGAATTTACAATGAATGTCAACAATGGCAAGACATATGGCCTGATTATTTGGACTTTTACAAAGCACTTGAAAAATTTCCACTAGATAAGGCTTCTTTCAAGGAACAAACCAGAGAAACGAGTGTGAGAGCAAAGAAAAGCTAGTGTAAGAGCAAAAATAGTAGTTTGAACTTTTCTGAGTCAATTGCTAATTTCCAAGGAGTATGAAGTTGGCCATCTGCTGCTGAACAAATCATATGTGAAGGGTCTTCTGCTGAAAGAGATCTGTGAAGCATATGAAATACTAAGACCAAGAGCAACCCTGGAACCTCCTGACTGCTGCAGTGGTCCTTAGAAGAACAGAATTATTTAGTGGCAAAATAGATAAAATGAAGGTGTAGAACAGATCCAGATGCACAGAGAATTGATTTTTTCAGCAGATTAGCTATTAGCTGTGATGATTTTCAAGAGATAATTGCCAAAGAGACTAGAATAACAATGATCAGCCTCTTCACAATGAAAGTCTTGCGACTAAATTAACATTTAAAATTAACATAACAAAATATTACAGGTTAGTAAAGTAAGAAGATATACTATTGAAAGTCATACCTGCTTTCTTCGTAGTCAAGACCAATTCTTCTGAGCATGTGTTGATTGCTTCATGAGCCTGCTGTGAAGATGCCACTTGAAGGATGAATCGTAGGACAGGAAGGATGAATAAAACAAGTTTTGTTTTGGTTCTTTCCAATAGTTTCAATAAGGAAAGTCAGGATCTGCTATATGCTTTCATAGTTCAAAGAAGATTGGAAGTCACTTCCTGGAACAAGACATCTGAGCAATGCCTAGAATCACAGCTACAAGAATTAATAGGAAAAAAAGGTCAGTCTTATAATTGTAATTAATGGCTGTTGGAGGTGTTTTTTGTGTGTGTATAATCCATGTGTCGACTTTCTGAATTTATTTTAGGGAAGAAATGACAGTACCTTTTCTGAAAACAGTATCTGGTCTGGTAAAATTCAGAGAGAAGGGCTCAGATTACCACTACAAATAGACTATACACTAAAGAACACATTATTGTACTGGACAAACAGAAACAGTAGCTATTAATCTGACCATTAATCATTTACATTTGTTTCACTTTTTAGTTTATGCCAGGTAGTGTCTGCTAGATAGAACTTCTTAGGCATAATGCCTTTTACTAAACCACAGCTATTATGGTCTTCTACAGAGTAAAGGTAAAGCTAAGTGGATATCAGTACTTTTGGTTCAATGTTTTGGTACAGCAGTGTGCCCAGGTGGCCAAGAAGGCCAATGGCATCCTGGCCTGCATCAAGAACAGTGTGGCCAGCAGGAGCAGGGAAGTGATCCTTCCCCTGTACTCAGCACCGGTGGGGCCAGACCTTGAGTATTGTGTTCAGCTCTGGGTCCCTCAGTTCAGGAAGGATATCGAGGTGCTGGAGCGGGTCCAGAGAAGAGCAACCAGGCTGGTGAAGGGACTGGTTGAGCATAAGTCCTATGAAGAGAGGCTGAGGGAGCTAGGGTTGTTTAGTCTGGAGAAAAGGAGGCTCAGAGGTGACCTCATCACTCTCTACAGCTACCTGAAAGGAGGTCGTAGCCAGGTGGGGGTCAGTCTCTTCTCCCAGGCAATCAGCAATAGGACAAGAGGGCACGGGCTTAAGCTCTGTCAGGGCAAGTATAGGTTGGATATTAGAAAGAAGTTCTTTACAGAGAGAGTGATCAGGCATTGGAATGGCCTGCCCAGAGAGGTGGTGGATTCACCATCCCTAGAGGTTTTTAAGATGAGGTTGGATGTGGCACTGAGTGCCACGATCTAGTAATCACAGTGGGGTTGGATCAAGGGTTGGGACTTGATGATCTCAGAGGTCTCTTCCAACCCAGTTAATTCTATGATTCTGTGATTCTTATACTGAGTTGATGATTATCTTTTGTGGCATGTGAAATTAGTCCTACAGAACTCAAGGGAATGGAAGAAATGATACTGCAGTATATTAACTCACAAACACTTAAAAAAAAAAATAATTCACATGTTGAGCGTTATGCATTGCAATCACTGTCTTAAGAGGGAGAGCGACTGGAATTTGTTCCCATGAGAAAAATGTAGCTTTGGCAATTCACAGGTGTCTGAGCAGGCATAATCCCAGACATACCGGATAAAATGTTGGCTACAGACTGATAAGATAAAGATCACAAAACAAACAGAGCCTTTAGATAATGCAAGGTGGAGAAAGAGCAGTGTGAGGCTTTCTCACCCTCACTATTTTCCATAATTCTCCCTTGGCAGTTTACTATTTTAATAAAAGCTGGATCAAGCACACCTTAAAAGTGAAGTTAAGAATTAAAATTAGAAATGAACCTCACGAGCACAGTATTTTTTTTTTTTTTTTTTTGAGATAGATAAAATGGTAGGGAAAAGCAGCTAGCTATTCTGGGGTTATAGTCCAGCCAGGAGAAATGGAAAGTTGACACACCTGAAAGAGCAAAAGTCTTTTATGAAATACAGAGTTTAGAGAGGCCACTGTTGTGGGACTATCCAGTTTGTATAACCTTTTCTGCTATGCAAAAAAGGGAAAAATCTCTCCCTTTCTTCCATCATGCTCGGCATCAGCAGAGCACTACCATAAAACCCTCGGGCACATGCAATTTCCCTTCAGCAAATACTCAGTCTGTGGTACAGCTGAACCTTTTGTGGTCAGGTCTCAGCAAAACCGCATCAGCTGCACAGGGGTAGGGTAGGTAGTACAGAGATGAGCTGTGCCTGGCAGGAGAGGCTTCCAAAACCTTGCACTGCTCACAACATTCCCTCTGCTGTGTCAAAGGACATGGGGGCTGCTCAGCAAGGTTCCTGTCTGCATGTAGAAAGAAAGAGACATATACCTGTACATCATCAAATAATAGGAATTTTGTGCAATTTTATTCCTGCTACTGAAGATTATTAGGCCTTTCTTCATATTGTTATGCAATGGTGTTCAAGAAGCAGTGGAGTGGGAGAAAATTTAAAACAAATTGACCTCTAATTAATAGTAACAGACATATTACAGATTTGTAAGGGTAAAAAAAGAGAGCTTCTTTCACTTGCTTCCCCATAATTGAAATCTAAGTACAGCCAGACGACAGTTAACCAGGCAGCTAGTGGTGAAAGTCAGATCTATGAATCATAGGAATGAATTGTAAATACTCATTACCTGTTTGACCTTAAGACACAGATTGTGTCAGCACTGACATTTTTTGTCTTTACAAAACTGATACAGGAAATGTACTTAGATGTCAGTGCTTTTTCTGCCAGTACTGCTGGTTCAAATGAAAGTTACTGTGCAGACAGATAAAACAGTAAAGCCATTGCTGCTACAACATCAAGCTATTTCAGTGGACAAAATATACAACTGTTAGTGGCATTATTCCACTCTTACATCAGAATCTAAGTAAATTACCATTTATATAAACAACAACTGGACAATTCCCTGGACTGAGTCAGGCAAGTATTTGTAATGGATGTACTAGATTACACCTGGACAAACATCTGCTATAAAGTTACTTCTGAAGAACTATTTAATGTGTCAGTAACATGTCCCCAGCTTCTGGGCTGGTCAATGGTGCAATTCCTACAGATGCATTGTGCCTTGATGCCACTATGGGAACTGAACTCAGCACTCACATGTAATTTCTGATGTCAATGATATGCTATAATATAGCTATATATAGCCTAATAAAAACATGTGTGGTGAAATTAAGAAAGAACAGCATGAATAATGAATTTACAATCCTCACAGTTTTTTATTCAATGATAGGATCAGTCAGCTACTCAAATTCATAGATGCAGCTCCAACCGTTGCCACATCCTTTTTTTCTGCCTTCCTTTCCTTTAAACTTGCCTTGCTTACAGCATTACTACGCTGGGTTGTTTTTTGAGTATTTTTAACTAATAATTGTCTTCCTGTGCAAAAATATTATATTCAGGTATATTTTCAAGGCATAAATTAAAACTAGTGGTAGATTTTCCTTACAAAATTTTTAAGAGTTATCAGTCTCATCTAAAACGTGCATTTTAAGCTGCTGTGCCTTCAAAGAATTCTTCTTATATTTCGGCAAGATTTCTCCTGACAGATCCTAGACAGATCCTTACTGCTGAAGGTAAAAGTCCTACTCAACATTTAATTTCCTTCATTGGAAACTAGTCTATGTTTCCAACCATATGGGGCAATTGAGGCAAGCAAGGTCACTTGCACAAGAAGAAGCACAGACTAGTACCATCCTCTTGTGTTATGGTGTCATTTCACATTATGCACACTCTGAGTTACGCTAACCTAGAAACTTGTGATATCCATTTGGTGACATTTAATCACAATGACACAGTCCGGAGACATCAGCTTTGCACACACAAATCTTCATCACACTAAGCAAACATAAAAACTTCCCCACACAAAATCAGTATTTAAACTTCCCTATAAATAAAATTGTATTTCTCACATGGTTGCCTCAGATGTTAGAGCAATAAGATTTCTTAAGAAAATTTTAACCATTTCAACCTCAATTTTAAAATGTATGCCTCCTAGGAAGGTTTTTACAGTAATTTTTTACTTTGGGGGATTTGGCTTGGATTTATACTGATGGCACCTGTAAAATCATCTTGAGGTTTTGTTTCCTTTAATAATGAATGCTTACACTAGAAAACTAATAAACAACTTCACCCAACAGATTTTTAATTAAAGCATGTTTCAATTCCTTAACGCCAATGCATCACAATGGAATTAATGTGCATTAATGGAATTTATTACGGAAGTGTAATAAAACTGAACAAGCCCTCAAGAAATTTTGCAGAATGCTCAAACCCAATCAATTTTGAATTACAGTACATTTTCAAAGAACTGCATAGTTCTTAGGAGATAAGGAAAAAGAATCATGGTATTATGGCTGTAAAATTGGACTCTCCCTATAGATTGTTATTGCTGGATGTTTTTTGAAAGAGAAGAAAAGCTGAGTTACTTTTGCTAGCTTTCAGACAAAATTAACAAAGTGTTTTGATAACCACTACTCTGTTCTAACACCCTAAATTTGATAAATCTCCTTGTGCCCTCCAAGCCCCTCAGGCACATGGAAATCAATCAGAAGCGTTACCTTTATATCAAAAGAGCTCTAACCTCCTCTTCTTCAAAGAAACCAAAGTCCAGCAGACAATTAACCTCACCAACACATGTCAGTGTGTAAGTCTGTGAAGCAAATAAACTACAACAAGGGAAAGGAATTTGACAATCTTCCTAAACGCGGGTATCTGATGTCAATAGCAAGACCTATAGGGCATACCCTCAGTACCTTGTGCTTGGTACCGCTGGCTCTTTCAAAACTGCGTTTGCCTGATGAGCAATATAATGATACAATGACTCGAGCTGGAAGGATGTGTATTAATTTTTTTTTTTTTTTTTTTTTAAATTCAGCAGACTGCAGAATTCTCCAAGAACATATAAAGCATCTGTGAATGTTACTGGTAGAGGGGAAGAACCGGTAACCTCCCAGTCCATTTTGATTTTAACTGGTGAATTTCAAGCATCTTGGTTAAAACGTGTTACAGTTATGAGTCTGAGGTTTTAAACAAATTTTTCTATGGAGTTTTATGGAAAGATGGTGAAAAGATGTAAAATGTCTTGCATTATTACTAACATTATAATATGGAGATTCTCTTTAAAAAAAGGCACACACATTTCACTTGTAAAACTCACCTTCAAGAGGACAGATACAGTGCAGAAGTCTCTTTTTCAGGATTTGGTTCAGCTAGCATCTGAAACACAATAAAAAATTCAAGCAGAGATGTGATCTTTTAGGCAAGGCAACTCTTTTTCC